TAGAACTGCCACAGCAATTAAACTATCTATGCTGGGTGGTGTGTCAGTATACCATATAGAACTTCCACAGCAATTAAACTCTCTATGCTGGGTGGAGTGTTAGTATACCATATAGAACTTCCACAGCAATTAAACTCTCTGTGCTGGGTGGTGTGTTAGTATACCATATAGAACTTCCACAGCAATTAAACTCTCTGTGCTGGGTGGTGTGTTAGTATACCATATAGAACTTCCACAGCAATTAAACTCTCTATGCTGGGTGGTGTGTTACTCTCTATACCGGTGTGTCATATATAGAACTTACACAGCAATTAAACTCTCTATGCTGGGTGGTGTGTCAGTATACCATATAGAACTTCCACAGCAATTAAACACACTGTGCTGGGTGGTGTGTTAGTATACCATATAGAACTTTCACAGCAATTAAACTCTCTATGCTGGGTGGTGTGTCAGTATACCATATAGAACTTCCACAGCAATTAAACTCACTGTGCTGGGTGGTGTGTCAGTATACCATATAGAACTTCCACAGCAATTAAACTCTCTATGCTGGGTGGTGTGTTAGTATACCATACAGGACTTCCACAGCAATTAAACTCTCTATGCTGGGTGGTGTGTTGGTATACCATATAGAACTGCCACAGCAATTAAACACACTGTGCTGGGTGGTGTGTTAGTATACCATATAGAACTTTCACAGCAATTAAACTCTCTGTGCTGGGTGGTGTGTCAGTATACCATATAGAACTTTCACAGCAATTAAACTCTCTGTGCGGGGTGGTGTGTTAGTATGCCATATAGAACTTCCACAGAAATTAAACTCTCTGTGCGGGGTGGTGTGTCAGTATACCATATAGAACTTCCACAGCAATTAAACTCTCTATGCTGGGTGGTGTGTCAGTATACCATATAGAACTTCCACAGCAATAAAACTCTCTATACTGGTGTGTCAGTATACCATATAGAACTTTCACAGCAATTAAACACACTGTGCTGGGTGGTGTGTTAGTATACCATATAGAACTTTCACAGCAATTAAACTCTCTATGCTGGGTGGTGTGTCAGTATACCATATAGACCTTCCACAGCAATTAAACTCACTGTGCTGGGTGGTGTGTCAGTATACCATATAGAACTTCCACAGCAATTAAACTCTCTATGCTGGGTGGTGTGTTAGTATACCATACAGGACTTCCACAGCAATTAAACTCTCTATGCTGGGTGGTGTGTCAGTATACCATATAGAACTGCCACAGCAATTAAACACACTGTGCTGGGTGGTGTGTTAGTATACCATATAGAACTTTCACAGCAATTAAACTCTCTATGCTGGGTGGTGTGTCAGTATACCATATAGAACTTCCACAGCAATAAAACTCTCTATACTGGTGTGTCAGTATACCATATAGAACTTACACAGAAATTAAACTCTCTATGCTGGGTGGTGTGTCAGTATACCATATAGAACTTCCACAGCAATTAAACACACTGTGCTGGGTGGTGTGTTAGTATACCATATAGAACTTTCACAGCAATTAAACTCTCTATGCTGGGTGGTGTGTCAGTATACCATATAGAACTTCCACAGCAATTAAACTCACTGTGCTGGGTGGTGTGTCAGTATACCATATAGAACTTCCACAGCAATTAAACTCTCTATGCTGGGTGGTGTGTTAGTATACCATACAGGACTTCCACAGCAATTAAACTCTCTATGCTGGGTGGTGTGTTGGTATACCATATAGAACTGCCACAGCAATTAAACACACTGTGCTGGGTGGTGTGTTAGTATACCATATAGAACTTTCACAGCAATTAAACTCTCTGTGCTGGGTGGTGTGTCAGTATACCATATAGAACTTTCACAGCAATTAAACTCTCTGTGCGGGGTGGTGTGTTAGTATGCCATATAGAACTTCCACAGAAATTAAACTCTCTGTGCGGGGTGGTGTGTCAGTATACCATATAGAACTTCCACAGCAATTAAACTCTCTGTGCTGGGTGGTGTGTTAGTATACCATATAGAACTTCCACAGCAATTAAACACACTGTGCTGGGTGGTGTGTGAGCAGATCTTATAACATATCTCTACACTAATGTGTGGTATTGAGTAACAGTGATTTGTAGCAAATACATACTCAATACTCAATTTAAAATAAATAAAACTATTGAGTAAGTATATGTCTCCATAAATTATGCATGTCCTTTTTTTTGCGTGTATTTTTTAGTGGTATTTGAAATCTTGTCTTATAATAGCTGCATATCTGTAGCTATAGCAAACCTTCCTCTTTTTCCTTGGGGCTACCCAATCACAGACTTCTCAATGAGCTATATTACAGAGAAGTCTTTGCAAGGCAGGTGTTCTAACCTACTGCCTATGTCTTGATTTTAGCTACACTGAGCTAATCAAACCAGGAAGAAAACGACTCGGGGTGTGATTGACAGCCGGAGTTGTTTAACAAGGTTCATTAAATAAAAGTGACAGTTTCTACTGAAATCAGAAAAAAAAAAAAAGAATAAAATAAAGAAAAGACACTTCAGAAGTGTTGTGTTTGGAATGTTCCGGTGTTAAACATACAGTAATATGTGGTTTACACAACTTTATCACAGAGCTCCATGGCAATTAAACTCACAGTAATGTGTTTTGTGAGTATGAGTGTAACAAGCAGCTCCACCATAACAAAATACAGTGTTAAAGATTGCCCATTTCAAATATTTCTATATTATTTTACTCACATAGTGTGGTATTAACAAAATGATAAAATAAATTCACATGAATTTGTCCATTTTAAATTTTGGGAGACATAACAAATGAAGGCACATGTAATAGAGAAATATTTCTTAAGCCAACATTGCTTTAAAAAAAATCCAGCTTTTAGAAAGGTTGCTGGCACAAAAATCGGACACATGTTTTGGATGAAATACACACTGCGTAGAATAGAAAGGATTTGGCTGAAGGAAACAATGAAATTCCAATCTCTCTGCACAACACATTTCAGACAGGCTGATATTAAGATCATACCCCGGTCAACATGACACGTCCACACTGTGAACGCAGATATTTTCTAATTATATATGGACAATTTTCTAAATATTGAACTTTTTTTTTTTTTTTCACTAAACACTCAGCTGTGGTGAGTTGTCAATGGACTTTTGCAATCTGGCTCTTAACTCCATGTTCACACAAATATACCTTCAATATTTTTAAAGCTACAGTAAAATAAAGACTGGGCTTACAGTCTGCAAATAAACATCAGGTTAAATGATGTGTACCTTCTATCAATGCTGAGAGTGCTAGGCGGTGAAGTTCTAGATCTAGAAAATCAAGAAAAACTCAATTAGGATTCTTAAAGCAAGTCAGAATTCAAAGTGAATTTTAAATTTAAAGAAACACTATAGGATCAGGAACATAAACATGTATTCCTGACCCTATAATGTTAAAACCTTCTAGCCCTCTGCCTCCCTAAATATAGTAAAATCTTCCCTTTATTTCAGTCTGCTGCTGCAGGCTCTGCCTCCTTGGCTTACATAATCAGAAGTGTTGATCTGAGCCAATAACAATGAAAGCATTGGATTGACAGACTGTCAAGGAGGCAGATCAGGGGCACAGCCAGCACAATCCAAACTCAGCCCTGGCCAATCAGTATCTCCTTACAGAGATGCATTGAATCAATGCATCTCTCTGAGGAAAGTTCAATGTCACTATGCAGAGGGTAGAGACACTGAATATCAGTCACACTGTGCAGCACTGCCCCAGGAAGCACCTCTAGTAGCCATCTGAGGAGTGTAAGCTTATATGCCAACATCAAAGCAAACCTCTTAAGGAGTCCTACTCTATATATTCACCAAGCACTTTTTAGCTAAAATGCAAAATCTCTAATGAAACAGAAGGGGTATTTTCATAAACACCTACATGGTAATTAAGCATTAATAGATAGCACTGTAACATGGCTGTTTGCAAGCTCATTGGAGCAGGGTCCACATCAACTTATTCTTTCAGTAACAATTTGTAGTTTTCTCATTTATTGTTAATTTTCACCTTTTATAATATTGTAAAGCAGTAAGGAATAAGTCGGCACTATAAACTGCAAATAATAGTAATAATAGTTAACTTTCTAGTAAAAGCGATATCTGGGAGTCCTAATTACACATTCAGTCAAGTATTTATCTCAAGTGTTAGCTGGCTTGCCTCCAGGACTGAGCTGAAAAGGACAACAGTCTCATGGAATACAGGAAGTGTTGATAATTACGATGCAATTCCTACTTAAACCCCTGAAGCATTAACTGAAAACAGGAGGCTGTTAATTCAATATGTTGCGAAAGTATTTGCTGCAGGATAACCATTGAGAGGTAAAGGAAGGTTAGGAGAGTTGACTTTACGAGGCCTGGGTAAGAAAAATAAAAAGCTGGCATGATTTTGTACATATGATGCTGAAGCCTGTGGTCGTTCCAGTATATTCAAGAGTCAAAAAACTTGACAGGCCCTAATAACATATCCTTCTGTCTAGAACCTTCGGCATCTTCTTTGAGAAGAACAATGAAATAAATGTGTGACAAATGCAAAAATAGTCTGTTAGAATTATTTTCCTTGTAGTCTCTACTTGAATATGTAAATAACTGAATGGCACAATGTGGATGGACATATACTTCTAAATTCAACAGTATAGACCACAAGGATGATTTAAGAAATGCTCAAACTGAGCCAAAATGTCAACTTGTAGGTGTGGAAATAAATTCCTAAAAGGATTCAGCTGCTGTGCATGGTGCCTTCGTAGAATTAAATGGAAGCTGTGTCTCTAATCAAATGCAAAACATCTGAATGATGCTCTTCTGCATACATGGTCACAATTTGAGTGCATGGGAGCATCAATAAATGGCAGGATTTCACAGTGTAGCATAGATTGATGGAAACCCTTAAAGCAATACTGACACCTCTCCATTTATCTTAGAATACATTAAAAACTCAAGACATGGAAAGGAGGCACTTAGCAGAATAGCTTCACCGGCTTGCATATTACATTAGTGTCGTCCTGTTTGCTCAATGTGGCAGAACCACTGCTGGTTCGGCTGCCTTCCACTTCTATTGTGCTTTTTTTTTTTTTCAATGCCTTTCATTTATTGTGCCATGTTCCCCGTTTGGGAGAGTTCATACGAAAGAAACTCACTCATCTCCCGAACGGGGACCACCCGGATATCCCATTTAGAACGTTCAAGTAGACACAGTTGCGAAACCGCAAGTGAAGCAATTAGGGAGTACTCCCCTGGGTGGCCATTTCGTATAGACAAATGCCAGCCAGGGGTGCGTTTGTGGATTGTTTCCCGACTCGTTCCCCTCCCGAACGAGGACCATCCCAGTGCCCATTAGAACGCTCCCAGAAATTAATTAGAACGTTCGCAATTGCAAGATAAGTGTGAAACCACAACATGCGCTCTGGCAACATAAGACTGAAACCACAAAGGAAGTAATTTATGAGTGCTCCCCTGGGTGGCCACCATTTAATGCCACCCAGGGGGAGCATTCGCACCCTGAAAGGAGACGCTTCCTTTGCAGGTTTCAGCACAGGAATCTCGCGAACAGAGATTGCTCAGAAAATGTTCCAATGTGAGGATGCCTGAGGTTGGTGGGGACACTTTTAGGGCAATGGCTTTTCTGTGCTTGGGAGACAAAGGGATGGTCTCTTTTCCTGCACCTTGGCTCCCAGGTACAGAGGCTCCCCTGTCGTCCTGGGCGGGAGACCTCCTTGCCTGAGTGGTGGGCTTTCCATATTTGGGAGACAAAGGAACAGCGACCCCCCAAGCATAGAGGATCCTGGAATAACCCCTGTTTATGTGTGTTGAAGACCCCTTGCATGGGGCTATGCATAAAAGCCATGTGTGACAATAAAATTATGTTGTACCTCCAGAGCTGTGTGTCGTCCTGTTACTGGGGGGAAATTGGTCTCTTTATATCCTAGAGTGGTTCCTGAGCGGCTGAAGGAAGGAATTAGCGGAGGTAACCGGTCGGGTTACCCGTGGTCCGCTACACTACAAAACAGGGGAATGGATAATTAGTTGACTTATTGTGAGAGAGCCCCAGCCCAGATCAAGAGTTTCTTCAAAAGTCTGGTGCTGTGCAAAGGTTTTAGTAATGAACATGACATCATATCCCAGCATGCCCTTGAATCTGGGAATTTACTTACCTCACACTTTTATTTTTGCCACATGACCTTGCTGGAGTCCCTTTTTGAGCTTATTTGTGTTTCTCTGCTTGTTGAATTTTTAGAAAAAAAAAACAACAAAATTAAAGGGACACTATAGTAATCCAGACCACTTCAGCTCAATGAAGTGGTCTCGGTGCCAGGTCCCTCAAGTTTTAACCTTTCAGATGCACATAGCAGTTTAGAGAAACTGCAATGCTTACATTTGGGGTTAATCCAGCCTCTAGTGGCTGTCTTCCGGACAGCCACTAGAGGCCCATCTCCGACCCTGGATGCAAATTTTCATCCATCCATCGTGCAGAGTGTCCATAGGAAAGCATTGAGAAATGCTTTCCTATGGATTCTTTGAATGCGCGAACGTCACATTCGCCACGCATGCCGCTCCACTAGGGAGCTGACGTCGGACGGGGAGGAGAGGTCACCCGGCGCTGGAATAAGGTAAGCTGCTGAAGGGATTTTAACCCCTTCAGCGCCATGGAAGGGGGCACCCTCAGGGCACTATAGTGTCAGGAAAATCACTTTGTTTTCCTGACGTTATAGTGATCCTTTAAGCTTAATTTGAAAATGTTTTTGATTGTTTGTTGGAACACATGCAGAAAGGAGTAACATGAGGAGTAAAATAAAACAAAACATACAAGAAACAAGTCCGCCATGACAATGCTGGTCATGTGTCTTGAAATATGATCAATTTCAGATGCTGTGGAACAAAAAATAAGGCAAGAATGAGGGGAGGGGAAAAAGGGGGAAGGGAAAAGGGGACAGGGGGAGGTGCTAAACAGACAGCTTACTACAGCAACATAAGGTACCTTCACCTTGAACAGGAGAACACAGGTGGATATGGTGCTCGAATCTGTTTTTGAAGGGAAAAATAAAGTATTATGCTACATTTTCCTTCGATTTGCTGCAGCTATTCTTGAATTAACGGCGCTCGTTTCTGTTTCGTGAGTACTGCAGTCAGACTATTGGCATCATTCAGGAAGAGGTTAGCGGACATTTGATATTTTGCCAAGGGTAACATCATAAAGTACAGGAGCCCCGGGTAAAATACTGTACCTAAATGTCAATCATTTGAAACTGCCTTATTATTTACTAAATTGTGATTTGTTGGAAAATAACATGTATTTAAAAATTTAGGCCAAAATTACTGTAACCATAGATGGCAAAGATAATTTTTCTCAACCAGCTAATCTTGGTCTAAAATGTTACATTGTGTTTGGATTCCGGTCAGTGAATAACCCAGTCAATTCTTACATGCTAAATTTGCACATTATAAGTTATTTACCACCCCGGTGTATTAAACGTACGCATGTTTCATAAAGCATTACATTGCGAAGGTATGAGGTGGCACTTGTAATGAATGATAATGTAAGACTGGCATAGGGCATATTTTGAAGGGAAAAATATACAGGGGCTAATTTACATAAAGTTAGAGGGCAGTTTTCTCCATGGTCTGCTTTATTAACCAATTAGATAAAGCTTGGGTGGCAAGACAAATCGTGCCTTTAAGGTTAAGCAAACACTACAAAAGGTAACAGGGTCACAGGCCAGAAGTGCCAACACTACAACTGTTAGTGGGAGTGATTTATGTCCTGATATGCTTTGCAGCGGTAAAGAAAAATACTTTAAACAGTTTAAGTGTACCTACTCTTCCTGAATATAACTCATTCAACCTGACTGTACTTTTCCATAAATTCCTGCGTGCAGTGTGCAGCCCAGGGCTGTCTGAGGATGTAAATACAAGGGCCCATTCAGGGAGGTTTTTCTCACAAGTCACACAGAGAAGTTACATCGCCCCCTTTACAAAGTATGCCAGTTATGATAGAAATAGCCAGTTAATGACCAATAACGCAAACAACACAGCAGACACTCATTAAAACAAACTGCTGCAGTGCAATCTTTAAAAAAAAAAAATTTTTATGAATGGCTGACTATTTTTGCAGACGCACCCACGGTTGTTTTTTTTTTTTTTTCAGACAGCAACTTGTGCAATTAAAGCGCCAGTAATGTTACAGTCCGACAGTTTATACTAAAAAAATATAGTATCTGTGTTTACATTAATTCAAGACGGTTGCGACTTGTAGCAGACAGAGGCTGCCATATGCATTTTCTGGTCCATGACCAAAAAACAAGGTCTACCTGTATTGTAATTTGCTCAAAATCCCTACCAGCCAATCAGGATGCATATTTGATTCAATAGTATCAGTAAGCCATTCCCTTCGAAGTAGACTTGAAATATAAACGATTTCTTCAGCAGAACATATCTAAACACCTAAGTCGCGTAACTGTAAACATATACTTAATTTTATACAATGTTTCTGCATGTATAATAAGCATGCATACACTAAGCCAGGGGTAGGCAAAGCATCATGGAAGTTGTAGTTTTACACCATTTGGGGATTTACCCTTTTCCCAGGATACATTTAAGCTAGTTAAACTTTATTTGTTCAATTAGATTTGTCACATTTCAGTGAAAACTCCGCTTTCCCAAACTGGAGTGTTTAACAGGATGAGCCGTACTGTGGAAAATAGATATGAGACACGTTTACCTCTGCAATATTAGGAGATGCTGGTGCACTCATCTCCCAATAATCTGCCATGAGCATGCACAGGTATCTTCTTCTAGATTGCTATATGAACGTATGCCTGTTCTGGCACTGTTTTTATGATGCTGTATGCATATATGTATTTGTATATAGAGCATCACAGGGGTAACAATATTTTACACTGCAGGCAAGCCTGTGCCAAAACAAAAAAATTAAAATAAAATATCACAACTCCCAGCTAATTTTATAATGGGTATCCTTTAAAGGGACACTCCACTACCCAAATAAAAATCACTGTTTTATATATATACCCACAAATTAAAACATACATTCAATTAATTATTTTTTTTTCTAAAAAAAAGAAAAGAAAAATTGCATGGAAAAGCTGCAGATCTCTTGTCTGAAGCCTTTGCAAGCACTCCTCTACTAACCCCACCCAGACTTTCTGTGGCTGTCCAATCACAGACTTCCCAATGCAGCTCAATGAGAAGTCTTTGCAAGGCAGGAGCTCAGAGCAACTGCCTGAATATTGAGTTTAGCTCCACTGAGCAAAACAGACCAGGAAGTAAAAAAAAAAAAAAAGGTAATTTGATTGACAGCCAGGGGGTGTAAATAAGGTGAATTTAGAAAAGTGCAAATTTCTATTGAAATCCTTACTTTTTGTAAAATAAAAAAAGTGGATGCATTCTTCATACATAAAGCACTTTAGCCCATTATCCTACTTGATAGCACAGCATCATTTATAAAATTATTAATTAAATAATCCAGTTTTGGAAGACCAAATAGTCAAATAAAAAAATAAAATAAAAAAAAGCCTAGCATGATGAAATAATGTCCAGGGCAGGAATGAAACTTTCAACATTCTAGAGAGATATTCTATTTAGGGAGATATTGTATGAACAGCTGGAGATACAATAACTGTAGAATGAACTAAAATTGTCTCTTCAACATTATGCCACGTAAAATATATACATTTGTATTTAAATGTGAAACTGAAATGATTAACCATTTCCTTTCCAAAATCTTGGAGCCACAATGCTATTTACTAATTACTATCTCCAAAAACTGAACAGGTTTAACCCCTTAAGGACCAAACTTCTGGAATAAAAGGGAATCGTGACATGCCACACATGGCATGTGTCCTTAAGGGGTTAAAGAATTTAAAAAAAAAAAAAAATAAAAGATAAAAATGTACAACTCTCTGCCACTAGCATTAACACACACTTATTTTATAGTAACCCACAGTAAAGAATTTTAGCGAACTACGCTTTATTTTTTAAATAACAAATACGAGCAGCTGAAATGTTATTGTAACAAATATAGGAAATCTAAATATATTTTTGGGAAAAAAAATAAAAATAAATTCTGCCTCATTTCCGGCCTGCAAAAAAAATAAAATAATTTATAGCAGCTTTTCCTAACATAAGCTTCCCGATTCTTTCCATCTGCGCGGGATCTAGATTTTGGCTTACACGTCTGTTGATGCTGGCCTTCCTTGTGGATATTTTATTCTTTGTATTCTACTCGAAGGGTTCCAATCTTCTCACACAATTCTTCCAAGTTTTTTTCCACGAGAGAATCCAAGGCATTGCCTCATTCTTCAACATGTTTTGCAGTTTTGCTTTTTTTTTTTTGTTAATATATTTTGTTATAAAACATGTTAACAAACGTAGTGCTACAAGAAGAAAAAGAAAATCTTCTGGGTACAAATGATATCTATATATTTTCAGTACAGACATTTTTAAGTACATGTGAAAATCTCTGGTTTCCTGCCAGGTTCCATGTAACTTATCAATTACTCCAAGGCTGTCATGAGTACTGATGAGGTAGAACATTATTGCCATAACTGAAAACCAGAACACACTAAATGTAATATTCTAGGAAAATGAAATTGATATTGTTTTAATTTCTCTGAGCAATTACGAAACACCAGCTCATAAACGCAGTGTTTATTTAAAGTGATTGCTAACGGAGAAAGTTTCAATTAGCTTACCTGTGCAAAAGGATTTAGGTGAAGTATTGATATGCAATGACTATATACACACTTATTTTTCTTTTTTAATATAAATTATCCTGGTACTTATTTTAAATTTGTATGAATTACAAATAATGTTCATGGTATATGGATTAGATTAGTAGAATATTTACAGGGTTTTTCTAGAACTATTGATAAAAATAAATAAAACATATATATGTACTGCACAAGTAACGCCAAGCCTCCGTAGCAAGCCAGTAACCAACCGCATGCTGATGAGTTGCATCAACAACGAAACGGATGTCCATGAGTGGTTCACTGGCTTTGCTCCTCTTCCTGAGTTGTGTTTCAAAGCTGTTGTATACAGCAGTCACATACTCCAAATAATCCATATATAACGTGGAATTATGAGGCAAAAATGTGGTTCTTTGTTGAGCTCATTTGCATACGGCTACCCAGAATCCCTTGCAGTAGCGAGAGCACGGTTAGTGAAATAAGCAGTCTTATGGCTTGACTGGTGTGTGCAGATTTGTGTTTAACAATGTATTATATATATATATATATATATATATATCTATATATAGATAGATTTTTGTATGCAATGCAAAAAGTAATAACTTGCTAAATATAGGCAATACTTATCTATTACATGGGAGTAAAAACGATTTATTATGGGACAGTGATCGCCCATAAAGGTTTAAACTAAGGGAAATACATTGCATTTGCCATTAAATATTAAAAAGTAACAAATATGCACAGCTTTCATTTGTGCTTGCTCCATTATTTTCCTTTTCTAAAATGTTTTAATTTATTCCGTATCTCATTAAGATTTATATTAAATATAAATCATTTCCATTTAGAGTATTTTTAGAAGCTGCACTAAGTTAGCTATATAGTCAATAGATGACATTAAAATGTTTTAAGTGCTTAAAATCAAATTAAGTATTTAAAATGTGTTTCATATTTCATTCATAACTACACAAAACATTGATATTTGTGTATGCACATTCATTCCCACACACACACAAACATACTTACATACAAGAGCAATTAAACTTTCTGTACATGTATAATTTGTTAAAAATGTTTTACTTGTCATTTCCCTTTTAAGAACATCCTGTGTGTAACAACACTTCTCGTTCTACAGCAAAGTACTTACTCAACAGGCTTCATGAAACTCTGTATTAAATAGTTTAAATTATATATTAATTTATAAAATAATAGTAAAACTCATTTAAGAGATCTCCTCCTGAGAAGGCATAATTGGAAGGACTTTTTTTTCTTTTCAAATTTTTTGCAAACATGTTGTAAAAAAAGGTTGTAAATTTTTGAAAGCTTAGCCATCTGAAGAATTATTCACTTTCTTTTAGCATATGACAAATAATCCTTGTTTTTGCATAATATGGAAAATACAGACTTACAAAACGGTAAAATCCCAAGAAATTTTGATGGAAGGCAATAAAATATTGTTAATTTTTGGTATTTCAAGGAAAAGGATTTCATGATTTTAAACCCTCAATAAATTGTCCGGTTTTGGGTACCCAAAAAGCACAAAGTCTGCCTCATATAACTTATACAGTTTCTGGCGCCAAGAGAGAGGAAGTTTTGAAAACCAATCTTCTTCCCAACTACTTGCAGTCTTGTTTCTATAGCTGGGAGGGAATTGGAAGAGTGAATCTATATTTAATTGTCTTAGAAGCAAGGCTGCATCTTCATCCAGAGATTCCAACTTTCCAACGAAATCATATTCAATTTGACACGGGTGACATAAGCGGTATATTTGTCGCCAGTGCTCATTGAATGGTTTCTGCTCTTCCGTTTTCTCATCTAAAAGATACTGTATAAACTGAGAAAAAGATGGCTTCATGCCCGAAGAGAATGCTTCACCTACAGAAGTGGGCACGTTGGTTCGATTGGAATAGCGTGTCAATATAGGTACTGCAAAGCTGCGGTAGAAGTTCTCATTCTCCAACTCAAACTTGCTACGGAAGGCAGAGATAAGACGCACAAAAGGATCACGGACAAACAGAAACTTGGTGTATTTCTTCAACTTGATTTTCATCATGTGCCTAGAGAATTTCCCATATCGACGCCAAAATTTGTTGAAGGTTAAATGACTGCTAGTATTATGAACATCTTCACGAGGGATCTGTAGAGGTTCTTGGTATGGGACTCCCTTTTTATCCAAGAGGCTTTCACTTAACACGATCATCACCCTCTTCCAATTAGTGCACGCAACCTTTGGAACGTAGCAGTAAATAATTCCATGCCTATCATCGACAATTAAGTGATCTAATTCACGGTTAGGAATATCATCAAATGAACGTTCCTTGGTTGGAAAATCAAAGCTAGAATTTGCACAAAATTTACGTAGATTCAATTTCCTTTCCTCTTGTATTTCCTGATCAAGAATTCCATCGTCTAATTTACCTTTGGTGGACCAGTCATATCCCCTCACAATTTCCTCTTGGCTGTTCGAGCCCCGTAGCTGCAGGTTTTCTGTTTTTGTGCTCTGAAAGAAACCTTTTGTAGATCCAAAATTGAGAAAAATATCTAAAAATTCATCTACATCTGATGCAACATTGTTCTCTACGGTTGGTGCAGTCGTTGGACGTTCTTCATTTGACTGTGCCAGTATAGACTTTGAGAAGGAAGTGTGAACGTTAAAGTTTGTAGTTCCGACATTATCCCAATAAACAATGATGAAAAGGATCATGAAAACTGAAACCAAAATGACCAACAAACAAAATAGCCTTGACCTGGTCATTCTGGATCAGATCTTCTACTTATCCTCTCCACTCTTCACTTCAACCTCACACACTGGCTCCTGGGATTCATCTCGTCTCTTCTAATATATACCTAGAAAAAAAAAGAATAATAACCAATTAAATAGAAATTTTAATTTGTCGTTCTATATTAACAATTAAAAGAGACACCTTAGGCACTATAACCAAATAAATTTACTGAGCAGTTTAAGATTAAACAATACAGGACTCCATTCATCATAATCATGTCAGTGAGATGAGGTGGTTAATTACTCATTCATTGTACTGCTATATTTTAAACAGAACTCAAAAGCAAACCAAGAACAAACAAAAAAATGTAAACTAATTTGCTGTGAATTGTGTTTTGACCAAAATATTAACTTCTCAAAATATGACTTTTAAGCTCCCATTCTCCAAGTCTGGTATTTTCAGATATTAGAAAACAAACAATTTTCTATTTCTTTATTTACAATGGTCTCTACAATTGGGGCTTTTTAAAGCTGAAATACGGAGGAATTATTCAGTAATATGGTTACAGAGTGGTTTCGAGGTACAGTCATTAAGCTTAACATAACATCAAGCTTCAATAACTACAACTAGAAACATAGAATGTGACGGCAGATAAGAACCATTTGGCCCATCTAGTCTGCCCAATTTTCTAAATACTTTCATTAGTCCCTAGCCTTATCTTATAGTTAGGATAGCCTTATGCCTATCCCACGCATGCTTAAACTCCGTTTATGGGGTTAACCTCTACCACTTCAGCTTGAAGGCTATTCCATGTATCCACTACCTTCTCAGTAAAGTACTTCCTGATATTTTTAAACCTTGGCCACTCTAATTTAAAGGGACACTATAGTCACCTAAACAACTTTAGCTTAATGAAGCGGTTTTAGTGTATAGATCATGCTTCTCAGGTTTCACTGCTCAATTCACTACCATTTAGGAGTTAAATCACTTTGTGTCTATTTATGCAGCCCTTGTCACACCTCCCTGGACTCTAAGTGACACAGCCTGCATAAAAAAAAATGGTTTCACTTTTAATCAGATGTAATTTACCTTAAACAATTGTATCTCTTTCTCTATAAATTGAAATTGAATTACATACAGGAGACTCTTGCTAGACTCTTAACATGGCAGGGGATAAGAAAATCTAAATTAAACAGAACTTGCAATAAAGGAAGGATAAACTTTAGATGACTCTTTACAGGAAGTGTTTAGTAAGGCTGTGCAAGTCACATGCAGGGAGGTGTGACTAGGGTTCATAAACAAAGTGATTTAACTCCTAAATGGCAGAGAATTGAGCAGTGCGACTAAAGGGACATGATCTATACACCAAAACTGCTTCATTAAGCTAAAGTTGTTTGGTGACTATGGTGTACCTTTAAGACTATGTCCTCTTGTTGTGGTAGTTTTTCTTAATTTAAATAATATAGTCTCCTCCTTTATTGTGTTGATTCCCTTTATGTATTTAAATGTTTCTATCATATCCCCCTGTCTCGTCTTTCCTCCAAGCTATACATGTTAAGATCCTTTAACCTTTACTGATAAGTTTTATCCTGCAATCCATGAACCAGTTTAGTAGCCCTTCTCTGAACTCTCTCTAAAGTATCAATATCCTTCTGAAGATACGGTCTCCAGTACTGTGTACAATACTCCAAGTGAGGTCTCACCAGTGTTCTGTACAATGGCATGAGCACTTCCCTCTTTCTCCTGCTAATACCTCTCCCTATACAACCAAGCATTCTGCTAGCATTTCCTGCTGCTCTATTACATTGTCTGCCTACCTTTAAGTCATCTGACATAATTACCCCTAAATCCCATTTTTTCGATGTTGGGGTTAGGACTCTATCAAATATTCTGTACTCTGCCCTTGGGTTTTTACGTCCAAGATGCATTATCTTGCACTTATCCACATTAAATGTAAGTTGCTACAGCTCTGACCATTTTTCTAGTTTACCTAAATCATTTGCTATTTGGCTTATCCCTCCTGGAACCTCAACCCTGTTATATATCCTAGTATCATCAGCAAAAAGAAATACCCTACCATCAAGACCTTCTGCAACATCACTGATAAAAATATTAAAGAGAATGGGTCCAACCAGGTGTGTCAAATTAAAGTCGGGAGTACTGCGTCTCTCCCTTCACAAGCTACAGCAGCACTGTCACTGTGTAATTTAGTTCCACCCATTTCCCAATGAACGGTCTGAGGGGGCGCTGTGCTGGGAGGACCTTCCCCTGGGTCACAGAGATCAGTGCAGGGGAGAGACAGGGAGAGGAATCTCAGATCTGCACAGAGGCATCCAGGCAGCTACTGGTAAGTGGGAGTCACTGTGTGTGGTTTAGTCTGTGTGTGTGTGGGGGGGGGGGCTCAGTCTGTGTATGTGTCAGTCTGTGTGTGTGTATGTGTCAGTCTGTGTGTGTGTGTGTGTATGTGTCAGTCTTTGTGTGTATGGTATGGGTCAGTGTATGTCGGGGTGAGTGTGTGTGTGTGTGTGTGTGGGGAGGGCTCAGTCTGTATGTGTGGGGAGGGCTCAGTCTGTATGTGTGGGGAGGGCTCAGTCTGTGTGTATGTGTAAGTTTGTGTGTATGTGTCATGGGTCAGTGTATGTCGGGGTGAGTGTGTGTGTGTGTGTGGGGAGGGCTCAGTCTGTGTGTGTGGGGAGGGCTTAGTCTGTGTATGGGTATCTGTGCCTCTCTCATCCTGTTACCCTCCATCTGTGCCCCTCCCATCCGGTTAACCTCATCTGTGTCTCTCCTTGCATCCTGACCTCGTACTTGAGCCCCCCCCCCCTCACTTGCCTGGCCTGCAAGCGGAGAGCGGCTGTCTGTGCAGTTGCTCCCCAGAAGATTCAGTGAGTAGAGAGAGAAAGGGAGAGATATACTGTAACTTTCTACCCCCGCCTCTCTCCACACACAGCCACCCCTACTGACCGGCAGCGTTATTGCTAATCTCACTCAGAGAAAAATACTGTGTTACACAAATGAAGAGAGGAGCCGCACTAAATCCCAGTGGAAACAAGGTGCACTGAGCAGGACCAGCAATCCCACAACGCTCAGGTAAACAGAAGAGTAGTCTCCAGTAGTCTTCAAACCAAAAGCAAATTTATTGGGTCAAACAAATGTGAAGGAGGAGCGGCAACGTTTTGACCTGCTACGAGGTCTTTGCCAAGAAAACTATCGGTATTTGTATTGCTGCTATTTTTGCATTAACATAACCGGCCAGGCAGCCTTAACTAATCGGCTGTGCCAGTGGTGGTAATCCTAGCTGGACGCATTTCACACTTAATGCAAGCTTTCACAACAGTTCAGTTTAATCTGAAACACTTATTTCAGAGCAGGTTAAGAGCTCGCAGTTAGCAATCATGTCTGCAGCTGGGTAACACCAACTTTAGTCAAAGCAAAATTGTTCCCTAAAGGCAGATTATAAACATTTTAAGGTTAATTAAATGGCAAAGCCACATATAAATCCAGCATTTATAGTTTATCTGATGAAAAAGAGGATTATCAATCTATGGCAGATTGCCAGGAAGATTTATTATCCATCACCTTGATTCTACGACCCAGACCTGCGTTACATTGCCCCAATGCAATTTAAAAATGACAATATTCTGATTCTGGATTCCAATTCATTTTGTGTAATTCCTGTATGTTACATGTGACTTTTTTCTCTATAAACCGCACATAAAGCAAGTAGATTATAAATGTGACCCATACGGTCGGGTATTTGCTTGTAGAATGCCCAGACCATGGAACCCTTCAGTTACACAGTACTTTAACAATTTCTGAAATTCCAATTGAATGACTAATGACCAAGCAAACTTGCTTAAAAATAATGTGCTGTCTAAGAAAGCTTGCACTAAAGTGAACATAGTGATAGTTACTGAATGTGAGGTTTGTACGAGATGAAGCATTATGTATTACGAGAGATGGGAAGCAGGACGTTTGTAATAGTAGGCGCAATTTGTCACTTTGCTTAACTGGAGTATGTCATAAAGACATCAAAATGGAGAAGGAAATTGGTAAGGGCTGATAAGAAAGCTTGCACTGTATCGATTGTGATATCACGGTTAAGAAGAAAGAGTCAGAAAACTTAAAATGTATGGGTGCATGATTAAACTTGTGGTACGAGACTTACACCAGAATAAGCAAGTCTTTGCTGATAAGAGAATCCTGGCATTTGTAGAAGGGCTACAGCAGAAGCTTAATATGCCTCTAATATATTAATTTGTTCCAGAATTCTGTAGCATCTTTAACAAACAGAGCTAATATCACTGGACAAAATGCTTGATAATACCAAGGCTAGAAAAATGTTGACGGGGGGTTTAAGCCCCATAATGCCATTGTGGTAACTATGGTACAAGCAGGGAGCTGGTGCTCTCCTCCAGTTCTGGATCATATTATTATGAGTAGTGATCAAAATTTGGGGTCCCAAAGGCAAAGGCCAGGCCACAAGGACCCCAGTTTTGTTCAAACCTCCAAAACTGGTTTGAAACAGAATCAGAGGACAGCACCCGCAGCCTACTAACTCTATAACCACTACAACAGCATATAAAACATAATTTATTAGCCAGGCTTAAAATGTACTTGCTACAAAAAAGTGCACAACACACATTTTAATTTTTTTCCCAAAGCATAAAATGTTAGTTTGTATAAGAATGCAAGCGGTATATGCATGGAAAATGATTGTATATGTGGAGGAAGACGGAGTAAAGTCAGTGTGACTGCATGAAATGTGTGAATGGTGAGTGTGTTTGGTAATTGGCCTGCCTCTGGTTCCTTTTCTCCTAATGGAAAGTGATTTAACCCCTTAAGGACTGGACTGTTTTTGCGATGTTGTACATTTGCGACCAGGAATATTTTTACACTTTTCTGGTGTTTGTGTTTGGCTGTAATTTTCCGCTCTCTCATTTACTGTTCCCATACAAATTATATATTGTTTTTTTCAGGACAAAGGGGGCTTTCTTTACATACCATTATTTATATAATCTCATGTATTTTTAAAAAGAATTTAAAAAAAATAAAAATCTGAGTAGAAAAAAAAGAGGTAGAAAAAATACACATGTTTTTGACTTTTACTTGAAAATCTTTTTACTCTCTTCTAGCAGATAGAAAAACTGCTAAATAAGATTCAAAAATTTTTTGTCCTGAGTTTAAAATACCCAGTGTTCACGTGCTTTTTGCTTTTTGCATGTTATGGGAGGGCTATAGGTACAAGTAGGATAAGCTAGGTTTCAAAACATTTTTAAAATTTATCAATAGTGACATTGTAACACTATTATCATCATAAATCTCTGAATAACACCGCACATGTACATATTTTTTTTAAAGTAGACAACCCAGGGTATTCAATATGGGTTATGTCCAGTCTTTTTTAGTAGCCACTTAGTCGAAAACACTGGCCAATGTAAGCATTCATATTTGTTTGTGTGTGAAAAAAGTAAAAAAACTAAATTGAACGCTAATTTTGGCCAGTGTTTGTGACTAAGTGGTTACTAAAAAAGACTGGACATACCTCATTTGCAATACCTTGGGTTGTCTTCTTTTGCAAATGGTATGCCATCATGGGGGTAATTCTCATTCCTGGGCTACCATACGCTCTCAAAGGCAACAAACCAACCTGGCCATTTTCAATGTAAAAATATTTGACCCATGTATTTGACCTTGTAACTTTCAAAAATGCTATAAAACCTGTACATGGTGGGTACTGTTTTACTCGGGAGACATCGCTGAACACATATATTAGTGTTTAAAAACTGGAAAACGTATCACAACAATTATATCATCAGTAAAAGTGCTGTTTGTGTGTGAAAAATGCAAAAAAAGTAACTTTCACTGACAATATCATCGCTGTGATATGTTTTACTGTTTTGAATCACTAATATTTGTGTTCAGCGAAGTCTCCCGAGTAAAACAGTACCCCCCATGTACAGGTTTTAGGGTGTCGTAGAACGTTACAGGGTAAAATACAGTGCTAGCAAATTAAATTCTCTGGAATTTCGGCCTGGGTTGGCAGGCAGGTCCCTCAAATTGCAATCAATAAAATTACTGAATTATGTAAAAATATTACATAAATACGCACGTAGAATTTAAATATATATGCATATTTATATATTTGAAGTCTACGTGTATATTTATATAATTATTTATGTAATTTTGTATATGGACGTATGTATATTTCTTATTATTTTTATTTATTTTTATATACATAGATATATATACAAATTCATTCTAAGTGTATTTTGATATAAATATATATATATTAATTTTAAAATACAGTTAGAATAAAATTTCATATAGCTATATAATTTTTTTAAAATTTTTATTATTATTTAAAAAAAAAATTATTTAATTTAAATTACTTATTATTTATATTTTATAATAATATATATATACAATCTATATAGTTATTATATATATTATATATATACGTGTGTAATTTAATTATAAGTGTATTTTTATATTAATATAAGTACATATTAATATAAAAATACACTTAGTATGGCATTATATATATGATATATAGACATATATTATATAGATATAATATATGTCTATATATCATATATACACATATATAATTATTTATTTTTTTTTATTAACATTAACTTTATTTTTTTTTTTGATTTTACACTAGCAGGGAGACTGCCTGTCAGCACAGACAGTCCCCCTGCAGGCAGCACTATGGACACCCATTGTGACCATGTGATCGCTATGTTAAGCGATCACATGGCCCCAGGGGTCCTAAATCAGTGTGGGGAGACTGTCTGGGCTGCAGGCAGTCTCCACACACCGGGAGCAACACTGATCGCCGCCGGGGGAACGACGGCGATCAGGTAAGTAACGGAAACCGTTAGGACGGTTCAGGACCGTCATCGGTCCGCAATGGGAAAATCCCGATGACGGTCCTGAACCGTCCTCGGTCGGGAAGGGGTTAAGGTTTGTTTTGTTTTTGTTTTTTTTTCTTCTGCTTTTTTTGGGGGAGTGTGTTCATGAGCCCCACCCACCTTTTCTTATCTTTATAAGAAGCAGGATGTTTCATTGCGTGCATCTAATGTAAGCTACATGAAGCTGGGCTTGTAATACATCTAAAAACAGCTCCAGAGAGGTTGACACTGTAACAACACAGGATCCTGGGAGTGACATCATGCATTACTTCATCAGCAGATGTAATAAAGCCGCGCTTGTCCGGCTGAACTTCAGCTTGCTAGCAGAGCCTCCAAACCACCTGCCGGCTTCTCTCCTGCCCGGCAACTGCATGTGGCCTCAGCAGCCTCAGTCTAAAATTCTCGCACCTCTTAAAGGAACATTACAGGGTCAGGAACACAGACCCTATAGTGTTAACAACCAACATCTAGCACTGAATCAATGCATCTCTATTAGGAAAGTTCTATGTCTACATGCAGAGGGTGGAGACACTGAATGGCAGAGCTGCCCAATGGAAGCAACTTTAGTAGCCATCTGAAGAGTGGCCAGTGTAGGTTTCCCTAGGCTGTAATGTACATACTGCCTTTTCAACGAAAACACAGTGTTTACAGCAAAAAGCCCAAAGGGAATGGTGATACTTACCAGACTAAATACAATATATTATAGTTGTTCTGGGGACTATAGTGTCCCTTTAATTCCACCTCACCCTTTGCAAGAGGATAAGAGGGATTTTTTAACCAAAATATTCTGAAGGATTAACTGTACATAATATGACATTTGCGCAAAGTGGTAACACAGCTAAAATACAAATCTGTATTTTTCCTCTTTTATCCACTGTCAAATCAAATACAAGTTAATGATACATGAAATTAGACAGTAATCTGTGTGTTGCCAAAAAGTCAAAAATGTATTATGATAGCATAAAAGTTAATGTACATTACGGTCCAAGGCCACAATGCTGACCTCTGAGCATGAATATGACTAATGAAACGAAAAAAACAATCCAAAAATAAGTAACTTGACAAGATTTCATAGAGAAATCATGCAAATTATGAGAATAATGCAGCATGGGACAAATATGTTATCTGCTATTGGCTGAACACAATGTTCCATGTTAGAATGCTTCGAGGCCTGGCTTCCCATCAATATTCAGCAATCATCCCAGAAATGTCCACATTTTTTGAGGTCAGGACTCTGCGAAAGATATGTTCTCACACTGATCCTTGTCAAACCATTTCTTAATGGACTGAGCTTTGTGCCTGGGGCATTATCATTCAGAGAAGGCCATCCTAAAATTGTTTCCACAAAGTTGGAATTCAATTTTTTTTAAAAATTATGAACTCTCACTGCATGCTGTAGTGTTAATATTAAAGGATCACTATAGGGTCAGGAACACAAACATGTATTCCTGGCCGCAAGGCCGCCACCAGAAATTTTGGGGCCCCTAACTCAGCTCAGGGTCTGGGCCCCCTGGGGCCCGCCTCCAAATACCGCCCACAGATACATACTAACAGACACACATACTGAAACAGACATACACATATACAGGCATTCATACTGACACACACATACACACTGACATACTGACATCCATACACACATACATACATTCAGACTGGCATACACACAGACATACGTTCATAATGATATGCAGACATACATTCATACTGACATACATATATACATACATAATGACATGCAGACATACATTGATACTGGCATACATACATACATTCATATATACATACATACAGACATACATTGATACTTGCATGCATACATACATACAGACATACATTGATACTGGCATACATACATACATACACTGATACATACATACAGACATACATACATTCATAATGACATACAGACATGCATAAATAGACATACATACATACACACACACACAGCTAATTTTTAAGCCACCCTCCTGTCTCTTACCTTTTCTTTGCAGGAGGGTGGCTGGGGCTGATGGGAGTAGTCGGCACGGCTCTCCCTCAATGCCGGGCGCGCGCTCCTCCCGCGCGGAGTGAGCTGGGAGGAAGTGACCACTTCCTCCCAGCAGCACTTGCTGCAGCTGCTTTTTTTTTTTTTTTTTACCACGGCCACAGCGCTGACCGGGCCCCTGAAGATATAGGGCCCATCAGGTGGCCATAAGTGCATGGGCCACCTGATGGGCCCCATCAGCGTGCGGCCCGGGCAGCCGTTATGGTTGTCACCTCCTGATGGTGGCCCTGCCTGGCCCTATAGTGTTAAAAAAAACATCTATCCCCCCTGGACCTCCATAAATATAGTTAAAAAAATCTTACTGTATTCAGGCCTGAAGCTGTAAATCTGCATGCTGTTAGACTCAGAAAAACAAGCAGTCTGCTGACATGTGGTAGCCTGATCCAATCACAGTGCTTCCCTATAGGATTGGCTGAGACTGATAAGGAGGCAGATCAGGAGCAGAGCCAGCATGATTCAAACACAGCCCTGGCCAATTAGCATCTCCTCATAGAGATGAATTGAATCAATGAATCTCTATGAGGAAAGTTCAGTGTTTGCATGCAGAGGGAGGAGACACTGAATGTTTGGATGCATTTTAGGCAGCCATGACCCAGGAAGGATCTCTAACAGCCATCTGAGGAGTGGCCAGTGAAGTTATCACTAGGCTGTAATGTAAACACTGCATTTTCTCTGAAAAGACAGTGTTTACAGCAAAAAGCCTGAAGGTAATGATTCTACTTACCAGAACAAATTCAATAGGCTGTAGTTGTTCTGGTGACTATAGTTTCCCTTTAATATGTCTTCCAATAGAACATGGAGTCCTTTCACATCCATAACTATTGCCATTGTATGTCTATGGCAATACCAGTCTCCTATAGCTAAAAAATAAATCCATGTAGAATATTTAGAATTTAAGTGTAAACGCGAATAGCTATTACACACACCTTGCATGTCAGTATATCTAGAGTGGTGAAAGGAGACAGTCACTCGCCTGAATTTTTTAAATGATTTTTTACTTATCCCCTATTTTTAGCACACACATACATATTTCTGTGAGGTGTGGAAAAATATAATTAAATGCATGAATCCACACCTTTATCCTGCACCTGGGTGCCTCCATCTTGGCTTCCTGTCAATCACTGTTACAAGCTCAGTCTCTTGCACCTGCTAATCAGAATACAGAGAAGATGGTAAATAAAACAATGTTTCTCTCGGCTCTTTACATATTTGGGCCTATAGACTATGAGGCTGCGACTCCACAGTTATTCAGACGCAGTATTTGCCTTTCTTTCGTCAAGGAGTTGTCCGTTAGCTCGTTGGGACATTACGTTCTCTTGTACGGCAGAGTTGTTCTTTAGTTATTTATCTGTTTATTTCTCCTACAATGTGTTATTTCTTTCATTGTTTGTTCCAGTAAGGACAATTTACTTTGATCGTAGTCATTATGTCTATTAGCCTATAAGCTTATATTTATTACATTCTTGCGATACTGTAGAAAAGTATTATTCTTGATTAGGCAGGAGTCACATCTGTAATGGCAATGTAAAGTGAGCACCACTTAAAGAAAAGTTTAACACAATATATAGATGATTTTCATTGTTGTATTATCCAGCAACGTGACAGTTCTCCTTTAAATATTCTCGCCCATACAGTCAACAGAAACACTGAATTCTGTAACTTGGCACAATTAGAAGTTATGCCAAGATCTATATTTCCTGCCAGAATAAGGGGGTTGCACTTCATTCCTCAATTAAGACTTTACAGCATCCGTATCATGGTTGGTATAATTTTCTTCACATTGAGAAGCATCTCATCTGGAGGACTGGGTTAGAAATGAGCCAAACGAATATCCTTGCCAAATCCTTTGAACCACAGCGAGTTATGTTACAAGGGAACGTAGATGTAAAATTTCAGTTTGGATAATTGCTTTAGAGCTTTAGGCACAATCCCTTTGTCTACTAAGTACTTGTCCAATTAGCATAATTGTTTCAGTGATACACGGTTTATATCTATTGTCAAAACTCTGATACTTTTCATTAGTAAGGCGAGAGCTACTGCTTCTTAAGACAAGTGAATTCCCTATGGGTTTAAGGAGGTTCAAGGCTTAATAATTAAAAAGGCTAGTGTTCACATTGGCGAACAAGCATTTTTCTGTCACATACACAGCCATGCATGCAATTTAACACACAGTTGGGCCCATGTGTTCATAACTTCCTGACCTCGAGTATTGTGAAAGGGCACTTGGTTGTAACTTCTCGCCTTTGACATCTTCGCCTCTTGTAAAGCAATAAATTGAATATTTAAAACCTTTCTTTTTTTTTTTTTTACACGTATATATGGGATGTTCCTTTTATTGTTCTACATACCACGGTTACTGAGTCAGTATTTTTCAAGACCTCCCCTATGCCATCAGCAAACACATCGACATTCATGGATTTGGCCTTTCTCATAAGTTTCCATTTAAAACATTTTGAGATGTTTCTAATTGTTTATCATCATTTTGTTTTACATTATTTCTCTATTATTTTACAGAACAGAACATACATTTTCTAATGCAATGTTTGTTTTGTTCAAAGGGAATTTGTATTACCATGTTTATTTTAAACGTGTTTGTCATAAGATTCCAAATTCTATAAATGAGGAGAACATTGATTATTTCATTAAGTGGTGCAAGTTACGAAGAAAAATACAATGATAATACAATATGGAACTTATGGAATATGGAAAGTAGAGTCAGGTATGGTGCAAAAAATGCTTTGTTTTCTATGGATATAGTAAAGATCTTAGCAACAAAGTCATAATGAATATGGGTTATGCTGCTTAGACTGAGACTATGGGCACCTTGCCCGTTCTTTTCGAGTGAGACTTAACAAAAACTGCATCTCTCTAGTTCCCTTCAGGACAAGATGTGTTCAATTTAGCCACATTCATAATGCAGAATTTACACATTAGCAATAGAAAATTGAGTGGTAGGATGCAAGCAGTAGGTGTGACACCTCCATGTGGGTCAACTATTTATTGACTTCCTCGATGGTCATGTACTTTGGTGGTGAAGAAGCTCACGTCACTACGTTCACTTCCACGGGGCTAGCTTTGCAGGATTATGCTAGCTATCCACAGGTTAGTACTCAGTGGGGATTGCATGACACACACGCAATAGAGCACCTTACAAACCAAATGGATAAATTAAGTACGACTTTTCAATAGGGAGAGGGGGGTTCTATATGGCATTCGCTTTGTGCCTTCTCTGCATTGTAATCTGACTGACTGAAATTACCAGGCAGAAAATCAGAATACATCTTTCATTTAAATTGGGTCTGTTTTATCCCGTCTTTCATTGAAGCTTTTCAATAAAAGTTTTTTTGAGAAACAAAATGCGTAGCAGGCAAATACTATAACATACTGAAATATTTTCATTAAAAAAAATAAAATAAAAATATCAGGGTTACAAAGCATCACACAGCCTTATGAAACAAACCAATGGCTGAATACAAATAGCTTTGAGTAATGTGATTTTGTTTGTAATATTTATTTAATTTTCCCTCATTGAAAGTGTTATTATGTTAGTTGAGCAACCAGCATGGTTATTCATGAAACTGGAATATTCGCAAATTAAATCAGAATGGCAAAACTGAGGGTGGGAAATTGGCAAACTGTGATTATGGCTTAGTTGTATTACTTAATTTTTCTAGATCAGTTAACGGCTACCCCTCTACAGGCCCAGACTGGCTACCGGGCAAATGTCCGGAGGGCCGCGATGGTCATGGGCCGAGCTGGCAGAGAAAAGTCAGAGGATCTCCCCTGCCGGGCCATGCAGGGCTGGCCCTGCTGTGTGCCTGAACCAGCCCAAAGGCATTTTCCTGCGGTTTCCGGCGAGGGAGGAAAAAGTGAGAGGAGGACCCGGGAGCACCAGCTAACAGCACAGACGAGTTCATCCTCTCGCGAGGGTGAAGCGTTGCCACGGTTACTATGGCAATGCTCCGATCTCGTGAGAGTAAACCCTAGCCCCATTAGCTGCAGGCTACAGTTCACTCACCACTTGGACCGCAGCAAGGTCCCCCTTGCCTTGCCTTGTCAAAAGGGCTCTCTAAGCGCTTAATCTTATTGAAGTGGTTATAGTAACTGAAGTACCGTGACACTATAATTCCACGATTAATTTGTTTTTAAATGGTTTAAACCTAAATGGAGGGACATAGAGGCTCCAAAGATCATATTCACTTCATGACACACACACACACAATACACTTACTTTTATATGCTTCCTATAAGAAATTATTACCAGCAGCTATAAAATGTATACGCTGTGTACACAATAGTTCAGGATTTTGCAGCATTAATATATTTGAGCACATATTTATATATTACACAACCAGAAAGGTAAAGAAAAGACAATGGTCACAGTAAGATTAACTCCTACAGTGCCAGCTTCAATGCTTGGTTATACCTCTTGGTACGAATGCAATAAAAAGGTTTGTAAACGGTTGTGGTCATGCTTACATTTCACCAGTTCACTGAAAATGCTAGGATTCGGACAAATCCTGACATACCTGGCTTTTAAATCTTGTTCAGACGTGTTCTGTTTGAAGAATGAGGAAGTTTGGTTGGTTGGCTGGTTATTTACAAATTAAACTTGAAGGAGAAAAAAAAAAAAAAGAGAGCAATAAATGTTATGGTTTATTTACTAAATCCCTCTTACCAAGTGCTTAAAGGAACACTATAGGCACTGATCACTTTATCTCTATTAAGTGGTTTGTGTGCAGTGTCCCTGACCCCTTAAAGGAGCACTATAGTGCCAGGAAAACCCCCCTGCCGCTGGGCTGAAGGGGTTAAAACTCCTTCAGCCACTTACCTTTCTCCAGCGCCGGGCTCCCTCGGCGCTGGTGACCTCTCCTCCCCCTGCCAACATCAGATCCGAATGCGCATGCGCAGCAAGAGCATTCAAACCGCCCAAAGGAAAGCATTACTCAATGCTTTCCTATGGACGTCCAGAGTCTTCTCACTGTGATTTTCAGAGTGATAATCGCAGAAGCACCTCTAGCGGCTGTCAGTGAGACAACCACTAGAGGCTGGATTAACCCTAAGTGAAACATAGCAGTTTTTCTGAAACTGCTATGTTTTCAGTTGCAAGGTTAAAACTAGAGGGACCTGGCACCCAGACCACTTTATTGAGATGAAGTGGTCTGGGTACCTATAGTGGTCCTTTAACCCAGCAATGTAAAACATTACAGGTTTTGGGCAATTACTTCTCTAGTAGATGTCAGTATGACAACCACTAGAGGCACTTCTGCCACACTGATGGAGCCAAACCTGGTCACATGACTTGGAAGCCCCCCAGGAAGCATTAATGCACGTTAGGTCCTTTATGAGGAGCATTGGATTTTACCATCGTGAAGGAGGCCAAGCAGCACCAGGGGAGCCTGGGCACTGGAAAAAAAAAAATTATAAGTAAAACTTCATTTTTTTTAAAAAACATTTTTTACAACTTGGGGGACATGCTTATAAGTTGGAACAGTGTAGCGTTAGGAACACAGATTTTGCATTCTTAACACTATAGTGTTCCTTTAGAGCAGGCTTCCCCAAACTCAATCCCTCCAGATGTTGCTGAACTACAACTCCCATGATTCTATGAATGCAATAGATAGGCTGAGAATCATGGAAGTTGTAGTTCAGCAACATCTGGAGGGCCAGAGTTTGGGAAAGCCTGTTTTAGAGGGTAGCCATCACTTTTCTAGAAATTACACTACAGTACTGAATAAAATAAATAAATTAAAAAGTTTTACAAAGAAAGAAGATAACCTATAACTTGAGATTTTTTCCCCCCATGTAATCCCCAGTTTTCTCTAAAAATTAAATAATCCAGTTCCATACAGACACACAATGAAAATGAAGAGGGGAAAATAGAATGTATTCTCTGCATGCTTTCTCTATGCTGATTGCCAGGAACAAAGGACAGAGTTAATGACATTGATTGACATATTAGAAATCCTGAGCCATGACGATTCCCCTTTTAACACCAAAATATCACATTTGCTGACAGGAGGGAATATATCACATTTGCGTATTAAAGAAACAGTAAAGTGATAGAAATACAAACCTGTATTCCAAACGCTTTAGTGTCCCTGTCCCTATTTAAAAACAGGTCGCTGTCCCCCAGTTTTCCATATAAAATAATATAATGCTTACCTCTCCGCTTCCCGCAATGTCACGGAGAAGGCATGACCTCCTCTGATGTCCAATGCAAAGCTCCTTAAAGAGGAGCATTGGGGAGTTCAGCAATTGCTGAACACGCATCCAAGTTACCCCAAAGAAAATCATTGAATCAATGTTCTCCTATTGGGGTTTCCGTGCCACAAGGTCCAGTTGTATTCTGTCAGTCCCGCGGAAGTGCCTCTAGTGGCTATATTTTAGGGGATTTTATAGGCACCCAGATCACTTCAGCTCAGTATCACAGGTTGCGGAGTTTCACCTGACCACATGATCAGTTTAATATTTCAGACAATCAATACTGCCACATTTGAAATACGTCGACATATTATCAATATATAGAGCAAGGGGCCAGGACTCAGTAGCTGGGCGACCCCATATTTTGGTCAAAAAACAGTCTGACTCAGACAGAAAGCAGTATCTACTTAGTACCTACTTATCAGTGAATTTTGGAGAGCTAAAAATAAAATGTGTGTCAGACTAACTGCAAGGCGTGAACCCCAAAACAAGTTACAAACAGAAAAACATACACAATCCGAATCAGAGTCATCTGAAATCACAAACGATCCTTCTGACAGGAAAAAGGCTAATGCATGAAGAAAAAGGAGATATATATATATATATCTATCATACATGATCCAGTGATCATTCACCAAGCACCAATTTCAAGTCTCATAGAATGCAATAGTTTTATAGTGGGGTTTCGTTACAGTATATGGTCACTAGAGCGAAGGGCTGGGACTCATGCACAAGTGGCACCCTGAGTTTTGGTCGAACCACTTGAAAACAGTCTGACTCAGAACTGGAGTAACGTTGACTGCCTTTCAGCACAATCACAACTACAAGGGTAAGTAGTAGGAGACCAACACCAGCCAATAGATGGAGTGCTAAAGGGTACGAATAAAATAGCTCACCTCCCCTCTCTCTTATGTATGCAATAGCCTAGATATGGGGATGAGATAAAAAAAAAAAAAGTGCAATTGTGTGGTACGTTCAAAAAAATAGTGGGGTGATAATAGAAATATATGGACCCACTCACATGGTACTGAGCCTCAACAGGACAGGCTCAGATCACTCAGGCGTACGTGTTTTGAAAGGCAACACAGAACCTACAACAATGAAGTTGTGCTGTTCCTTGAAATATAAAGGGAGACCGGATATGGTGTAGTATGTATCATAGAGAATAAACAAAAAAAAGAAACAAATGCCATTCTACCTGTGGATGATTTACTGAGAAGATTGTAGATTAAAAAGTAACTTTTAATATATAAATCTAAAATAAAAATATAAAAAAGAAAAATAATATGAACAGCAGGAGTAAATGGAGACTATACAGCGAGTAAAACTCTGTGACTACTTATACAAGCTGTAAAAGTGTATACATAACACTAATGCTGAAGCAATACTGTTTAGCTACAATATAACAGTGTATTCCCAAGTAATAGAAGTGATACTATATTATATATCACTAATAGCTGTAACAAGAGGGGGGGGGAGAGAAGACAACTGCTAAACCAGTGCTGTCAATAGTTAAAAGATATGGATAAGTAAATCCCTACATGATAGTACAACTAACGACAAGGGTTAACTCCACATACAATAATTGATAATGTTCTATGGTGCTTAACCTCAGAAAGATCAAAGATAATGGTTCAGCTAAGACAGATTTCTGACAGACGGCGATTAGCCAGTTAAATATCACAAAAGCTGCCTAGATCATAGTAGCATTTTGATAATAAATTAAAGATTGCTGTCAAGCAGTAAAGTATAAAATAAGGGGTTGCTGACCTGGCTCTGTTTTTTATGCAAGATACCTAGCAGTATATTCTAGTGTAACAACAGCTGCCTGCACTGAATGATGTTAACTTATGCTTGACCACAGTGGAGCACAAAGTAGTAGCTCACCTGTGAAGGACTGCTGACAGGCAGCAGTTAACCGGTTAAAAATCACACAAGTTGCCTAAATGCTAGCTGCATCTAAATAATAGGTCAAAGTATAAAGAGGGGGTTTACAAACAGTTTTGAACAGGTTGCCTAGGTAGTAGAAAATATACAGACAGTGACAGAGGAAGGCATATAGACAGTGGCGTACATACCAGGGTCGCAGGGGTCGCGGCTGCGACCGGGCCCGGCCCACCAGGGGGCCCGGCCGCCCCTGCGACCCGGTATGTACACAGTGGGCCAGCCTCTTCCCCTGGGGGGCCCAGGAGGCGGCCACCCCAGGGCCCCCCGAGGCTGGCCCTGCTGACCCCAGCGGGCAGGTGGCCGGTCGGGCAGGCGGGCGCGCGAGGGAGCACTCAGTGCTTCTTCTTCAGCTCCCTCGCGCACCGCACTGATGCCGGAGCCGGAAGATGACGTCATCTTCCGGCGCCGACATCCCTACGCGGCGCGCGAGGGAGCTGAAGAGGAAGCACTGAGTGCTCCCTCGCGCGCCGGCCGGCCAGGCAGCCCGCCCACCCAGTGACCTGCCGCCCAGGAGCCCAGCAGCACCACTGGACCCCAGGAAATCCCCCCAGCACTCCAAAAGGTAAGGAGGCTGGGGGGATTAAAATTAAAAAAAAGTGTGTGTGTGTGTGTTAGTGTATGTGTGTGTTAGTGTATGTGTGTGTGTGTTAGTGTATGTGTGTGTGTGTTAGAGTGTGTGTTAGTGTGTGTGTGTGTTAGTGTGTGTGTGTGTTAGTGTGTGTGTGTGTGTGTTAGAGTGTGTGTTAGTGTCAGTGTGTGTGTTAGTGCGTGTGTTAGTGTGTGTGTGTCAGTGAATGTGTCTGTTATTGGGTGTGTGTCTGCTAGTGAGTGTGTTACTGTGTGTGTCTGTTACTGAGTGTGTTTGATGTCTGTTAGTGAGTGTGTGTTTGTCAGTGAAAGTGTATGTTTGTAAGTGAGTGTGTATGTATGTCTGTCGCTGAGTGTGTCTCTGTCAGTAAATGTGTGTGTCTGTTAGCTAGTGTGTATGCGTCTGTTTGTGAGAGTGTGTGTGTCTTCAGCATTTACCTTTCTCCAGCGTCGGACTCCCCAGTGTCCGCCTCTCAGCTCCGAATGCACATGCGCGGCAAGAGGCGCGCACGCATTTAAACCCCCATAGGAAAGCATTACTCAATGCTTTCCTATGGACGTTCAGTGGAATCGTGGAAGCTCCTCTAGCAGCTGTCAATGAGACAGCCACCAGAGGCTGGATTAACCCTCAGTGAAACATAACCGTTTCTCTGAAACTGCTATGTTTTCAGCTGCAGGGTTAAAACTAGAGGGACCTGTCACCCAGACCACTTCATTGAGCTGATGTGATCTGGGTGTCTGTAGTGGTCCTTTAAGTGTGTGTGAATACCGCGGTCGCGGGGTCGCAGCCCTGCAACCCCTGCAACCAGGTGCCCGCCACCATGTGTTGCGACCCCGACCCGCGCCAAGTAAGCGTGGGGGGGGCCCACGGATCAATCTTTGCACCGGGGCCCCATGGGTCATGTGTACGCCACTGCATATAGAATAAAGATTCCTGAGTCTTGTGCCTTCGAGGGCACCCCTTAATAAAATGCCTGGTCTTATCAATCTCCCCCCATAAACATAATAAAGGAAAAAGAAAGAGAAATAAAGTATGTACAGAGTACACAAAATTAGTGTTAAGAGTCTCCAATATGCACTCCTGAGATGCTGGACATGAATGAACTTGATGTCGGTAATTTAGCAATAGATAAGCAGAGAGTTAGGTGCCGACACCAATAATGTGTCAGTAAGTGTCCAAAGCCCCAGAGTTAAGAGTTAAGCAGAGAGTTAGGTGCCGACACCAATAATGTGTCAGTAAGTGTCCAGAGCCCCGTGTGACAGTCTCTTTCCGTTACACTGTGTACAGGAATGCTGTTCCGGCGATGGACACTGGAAGTGTAACTAAGACTACCTCTCTTCTTACTCCTTATACATGAGGCTCTGTATTTTTGTTTATTATACATCTTTCTCTGTTTATGTAAGCAGACATCATTTTACATACACACACACACAGTTTTAGTTTATGATCCCAACATAAAGTACCTTTAGATTCATTAGAAAAAAAAAAAAAGCTGTGGCAGGAAAATCTTTCCTAGGCTCATACATACCTCGCAGTCCTGTATTTTTGGGAATACATACATGACATTATATTTATATAAACATATGTGCATGTACACACACCCAGTGCTTAATGGGAAATGGACACCATTTATTAAACACTGAACATCACCTAGAACTTTTGATACAGTGGATCTGTCACTTAATGGTCTTTGCATATTTTGCAAAGATCCCTAAAAGCGATAGATCCATTATGCGTCAGGTGGCCGCAGGGGAAGTAGGTTTTACTTACCTGAAGCTGTTCCTCACGGCCAGTGCCATCTTCTTCCTGGTGGCCTTTTCAGCTCCTGACGCTTCATTTGCCAGGAGCCACATCAGTGCTGTACTCTCGTGCATGCGCAATAGTACAACACTGAGATCTATGGAAGGTACCGCGATAGACTGATGGCTGAATACCACAGCTCTAATTTAGTTTAAATTAATATTAAAGATATGGCACACAACATCATCAAGACCAGACATGGCAAAGCCAGAGCAAACATTGCAGATGAGCAGGAGAAATAGAAACATCTTTTATTTCTCCTCTTCTCTGCAGGACGACTGCCAGATGCAAAAGACAGAGCGAATAACAATGACCGACAGAGAGTCAAGATGCATTGCGATGGCACTTTAAGAACCACAGATGACATGCAGGATACTCTGTTAAGATGCATTCTTGTAAATGGACAAAATAGGGATACAGCTGAATGGAAAATAGTGATGGATAATGCGCCTTTAAGCCCTCAAGGGCTGCAGTGGTATTCACCCTCCACGAATAGGTTGCTCTGTCTTCAAAGAAGTGGGAGTATGCCAGTGAAGTATAAAAATTTTTTTTTTTATTATTATTAAAAGGCACTAATAAGCCTATATCAAAAAATCAATAGTTAAAAGTATACAAATAATACTGCATCTAACGCGTTTCGTCCATACAAATTGGACTTCATCAGAGAGAATTTTTTGCAGTATACACAATATGTCAAATACAAAGCATGCATGCTTTGTATTTGACATATTGTGTATACTGCAAAAAATTCTCTCTGATGAAGTCCAATTTGTATGGACGAAACGCGTTAGATGCAGTATTATTTGTATACTTTTAACTATTGATTTTTTGATATAGGCTTATTAGTGCCTTTTAATAATAATAAAAAAAAAAATTTTTATACTTCACTGGCATACTCCCACTTCTTTGAAGACAGAGCAACCTATTCGTGGAGGGTGAATACCACTGCAGCCCTTGAGGGCTTAAAGGCGCATTATCCATCACTATTTTCCATTCAGCTGTATCCCTATTTTGTCCATTTACATATCTGCATTTGAGGTTCATTTGGGGGTAACCTCTTGGGAAGCTGCATTCATCTCATACCAAGTTAAGTACTCGTGTATATTCCTACCACTCTGTTGGTTAGGTACATTTGTATTTCTTGCGTTTGTATTTTTTTTCTTTTCCTTCAACATAAGATGCATTCTTGCCATGCCCATTCTGTGAAAGTTGTGCTTCCCCTATCAGATTTCAAGCATTGGTGTCGAAATGCTTTGTAACACATCTGCACAGTAGATGAAACAAATTGCTTGAGTTTTGACTGCCAAAGTCCATTTAACTAAAACCAAATGTAGATAAGTAACGAGGAAGCATATATACGCTGGATGATTACAAGAAGGCAGATTCCCCACGACCAGAGAGGAATATAGTTTTTGTTTGGTTTTTCACTTTTTTGATTATTATTTTATTTTTTAACCTCTTCAGTTGAAGAAGAAAAAAAAAAAATCATAGTTCCCCTACCACGGTGACATCGCGGTATGAGGAAGCTGGCCGTTCCTGTCCTGGAGGGACTACAGAAGCATACTACAGTAATGGGAATAAAGTCTTGTATTCCTAACACTATGGTGTTCCTTTAATCTGAACCAATGAGGTCTCCATTCAGTTCATAATAAAGAACAGGTTATGCTATTCTGATGGGAACATCTCACAAAGTTTTAAAGCATGCAAATACTGCAATGATTTTATTTCATAAAGCAAATGTATATATCTTTAAGAAATAAGGTGTTGGTTTCCGCTGGATGATCCAAATGTAGTACTGGACCTTGCAACTGATTATTAATTAGAATTTTTGTATGAACTTGAATGCATTTATGATGAACTGCCATGAATCTGTATTTCTAATTCTATAGTGTTCCTTTCCCTAACTTATTAGGTCGTGTGTGTGTCCCCTCACAGTCCAGCCTGTGAATGATTTAGGAGAAAACTTTTTTTCTTACCTTAATTCCTGCGCCAAGGCGTCACAGAGCTGGACTGACGTAAAGTGTGTGCTCGCTGCATGCGCGTTAAAGCTTACCCATGCAAAAGCACTGACTCAATGCTTTCCTACTGGAAATTCGAAGACGTCGGACTTCTGTTAGGGAGCAAGAATCTTGTCTAGTGGTTGTCTGGAAGACAGCCATTAGAGGTGGACCTAACAAAAAGGCGATGTTTTATGTTGCAGGGTTACTGCACCCAGCCCACCTTCAATGAGATAAAATGGCCTGGGTGCCTATGGTGTCCCTTTAAGAAAATTTGGAAGTGTCTGGTTTCTTCACTTTCCCAAAACAGATTAGTGTGAACATTCTTCCTGAGTAACCCACTGAGATAAATAAAATACAATAAAAAATTTTTTATATATATATATATATATATATATATATATATATATATATATAATACACAAGATCCAGCGCACTCATCTATCCACTAAACAGCAACTTCAATGTTGAAAGATTTTATTTGTTTTTTTAAAAACACCTAATCTAGGCAAAAATAATGGGGTTTTAGTTACATTATATGATCATACAGTGCATAAGCCTGCCACAACGTCAATGTACCCCATCTTTGGCAGGTCCTACACTAACAGCCTAATGTCTGCTCTTATGAGATTAACCTACTTGGGGAAAGAAATTCCATCTGGGGCTCTCTGCAGTACAAGGCTAAATAGGGCCCTGGGATGAGGCACCTGTGACAGGGAGGGGTGCAAAACCAAGGAGTTGGCTAGACTCCCAAATATATATAAAACAAGAGGGGGTTGGCTGCACTCACCTTAACATGCATAAATTGGGGGTGCTGCTGGGGGCCAAATAATACAATACACAAGATCCAGCGCACTCACCTATCCACTAAACAGCAACTTCAATGTTGAAAGATTTTATTTGTTTTTTTAAAAACACCTAATCTAGGCAAAAATAATGGGGGTTTAGTTACATTATATGATCATACAGTGCATAAGCCTGCCACAACGTCAATGTACCCCATCTTTCAACATTGAAGTTGCTGTTTAGTGGATAGGTGAGTGCGCTGGATCTTGTGTATTGTATTATTTGGCCCCCAGCAGCACCCCCAATTTATGCATGTTAAGGTGAGTGCAGCCAACCCCCTCTTGTTTTATATATATTTGGGAGTCTAGCCAACTCCTTGGTTTTGCACCCCTCCCTGTCACAGGTGCCTCATCCAGGGCCCTATTTAGCCTTGTACTGCAGAGAGCCCCAGATGGAATTTTTTCCCCAAGTAGGTTAATCTCATAAGAGCAGACATTAGGCTGTTAGTGTAGGACCTGCCAAAGATGGGGTACATTGACGTTGTGGCAGGCTTATGCACTGTATGATCATATAATGTAACTAAACCCCCATTATTTTTGCCTAGATTAGGTGTTTTTAAAAAAACAAATAAAATCTTTCAACATTGAAGTTGCTGTTTAGTGGATAGGTGAGTGCGCTGGATCTTGTGTATTGTATTATTTGGCCCCCAGCAGCACCCCCAATTTATGCATGTTAAGGTGAGTGCAGCCAACCCCCTCTTGTTTTATTTATATATATATACACACACACTCTCTGTCTCTCTGTCTCTCTGTGTCTCTGTGTCTCTGTGTCTCTGTGTCTCTGTGTCTCTGTGTCTCTGTCTCTCTGTCTCTTTAGGGAAAAAGAAAGCACACCCTCTTCGAATTCTATGATTTTACATATCAGGCCACAACAATCATCCTCAGATGAACAACACATGACATATTACACCACATCATGATTTACCAAACAAACAAAAAATAAAAAAGGAGATGTATCATGTGTGAAAAACTAAGTACACCCTACTGCTTCCATAGGAATTAAGGGTTAAGCGCCTGTGTGGCTATTTAGGTACCAGGCCCCACTTAGCTCGCTCTTAACCCCTTAAGGACTGAGCCAAATGTACACGTTGTGAACAAAACAAAACGTAAACAAAACCTGGCATTTGTGCTATATGTCTGTCCAACCGTAATTAACTCTCACATGGCCGGGGGAGGCAGGATCTGCCGTGGGGGACTCCCTGGGATCCCAGGTGAGTCTCCCCAACCGCAATCGCTGGCGTGGGATCGCCGGCGACCGGGTAAGTAAAAAAAAAAAAAAAACGGAGGGCGTTCTATTAGAGCCGTTTAGAGCCGCTTAGAATAGGGCGTAATAGTACGCCCTCCGGTTTTAAGGGGTTATGGTGATTCAGTTTTTCTCCCATGCCAGTCTCGTCACGACTGGCACCGCCTGACTCCACAAGTGAATTAATCAATTCTGATGTTAGTCAATCCATGGCTTTCCCATAGGAAAGCATTGGGAGGCTATTGCGCATGTGCAGCAAAACCCTGCACTGCGCCAATCACTATTTCCTCACAGAGATGCACTGAATGAATGTGTCTCTTTGGGAATATTCAGCGTCTTCATGCAGTGCATGAGGTGTTCTTAGTTAACAATATAAACACAACCTTTTCTCCTGCAGGGACAGGCTACATACAGTACACACAGTACATTAAACTGTAGTTCTTGTGGTGACTATAGTGTCCCTTTAATTATCATTATTAATTTATTTTAATAAAACATGAATGGGCAGTCTAAGCACCACAGCACACTACAGTGATTATGGGATAAAATATCTTGATGACACCCCTCAGTTTGTGTCAAACCGCTTTAGGGCACGTATGCATAAAAGTACAGGGCTCTCCAACAACTGCCCTTGCAGTGCATCACTACCATCCAAAGATGGGCAGCTAACGAGGAGATTTAGGTACCAACTAAATAGGCTGCTGCAGTGGGGCAGGATTTTAGGTGTCAGAAGAGTATCAGTTTTTCACAAATTGATGGTACAACACCCAAAGACTCTTTTTCCATACCCACTACAATGAGCGCAAAGCTCAGGAAAGTTATTTTTAGGCAACATTTCCCCTTTAAATACCAGATAATCTTCTCGCTATCACTCACAGCTGATATAACAGATGGCTGAAAGATAGATTTCTCACAGCAGGTCTTGAAGAAAGCTGTGGATTAGGATAGTGCTTTACAAACCGTTACTAACATAATACAATAAAATAACTACAACTACAACAAACATTTCAGTCAATACATCACAGAATGCTAAAGCATAAAGCACACTTGCACATGACCTATCATGCAAAAAGGTTTATTAAAAATGCACAGGATGTTAGCAGATTAAAGCCAAATGGCAACATTTAGACTAAATCAGCCGATTTGAAAAAAAAATCCAACTCCGCCAGCAAATTCCATAGCGCTGTACAATGGGATTCTAGCCTAATGTTTACCATTTTGATTTAAAGGAACACTCTAGGCACCAAAACACTTCATCACAATGAAACTATGGTGCGAGGAGGTCCTCAGGCACTGGCTTACCTCAACTGCTAACGAACGGTCTAACCAGAAAGTCTTGAATCCGATAGATCTGACAGCTACTACTTCCTCAGTCTGAGGGTTAAGTCAGGAAGTCATGGACTGGGAGCCACCAATATGCTCAGCTGTCAACCTATCTGTAGTCCCCCCCACCCCCCAGGGCTTTAACCCCTTAAGGACCAAACTTCTGGAATAAAAGGGAATCATGACATATTACATATATTACATATGTCATGTGTACTTAAGGGGTTAAAACATTTTTTTAATGTACTTTTCTTTAGCCATTTTATGAATAGGGATCTACTGATAGGCTAAGTGTCAGCTGAAACTCTTAGTCTATCCGCAAGCTTCCATTACAATCCAGGCCTCATAATTCAAGCTCTGAATACAAGACTCTGGGGGTTACACAGTTCATTAGCGGTTTAACCCCTTAAGATAAACCAGGCCCAACATCACACTTAATTTCAATGAAGTCATTATAGTGCCAAAGGAAAAAATAAATAAATAAAGTTACTTAGGCACTCTCTCAAATCCTTATGCACATTTAGTGCGCGGAGTGTTAATTCAGTTCACTAAAATCCCATATTTAGTGAATAACCCTGTCAGTGACACGGGAGGTTAAATGATTATTAGGGGTCAGAAAATACAAAATACACATTAAAAACAGCCTAAATAAAAAAAAAGTTCAAGTCTAAACAACTGAACTTAAGAAGTCATCTACGAACTAGACTGAGGACCTGAAATGTTGGGCGCCTCTATCCATATAGGAATAGGCAAACCTATGTGACTACATCTACTGCGAACCATCACTCCCACCATGCTAAACCTGATTGGCGAAAAATCTATGAATCCACAGCAGCAGCTGATTGCTTATATGTATTTCTGTGTATAGTGTTTGAGAATTTTAGAAGGAAACAGGAGAATTGCCTGTCCCCCTTCCACCCCTCTGTGGGAGTAACTCTAAAATACTAGTAAAATAGCATCCATCTACAAATAGAGACATAAATGACACACTATATGCTGCTCTCTCTGTTTTACTAATAATATTTGACTGATCCATGATACAGAAGTGTTGCAATAAGTTTTTTCTTTAGGGAGCAGCTAATATATTAATATAGAGAATATACTCAATAAAAAAATATTATTCTTTTTTTTTTTTTTTAAACTGCTAATAAAGTGCAGTCATTGTAACCCACACTGCACATACTTTGCTTTATGGCACATTAACCCAGGCAGTGCTGGGAGTGGGAGTATACATGTATAAAATGTGACCCCAAATATGAACCCCATGGTAGGGCAGTGATGGATGACGCTGGCACTCCAGATGCAGGAGCACTACAAATCCCATGATGCTCAGCCCCTCCTGTGCAGCCTGTATAGCCCTGTATAGCTAGCCTGGGAGCCCAGGGTTAGCCATGGCTGTGATCTAGGAAACATATCTGCCAGCCATAATGTTCTGCACACACAGGGGCCCTCTGGAACCCGCCTGGATCGCTATGTATCATTGCCCGAGCTGGGAAGCGATATTACCTCTATGGCCCTATCGCGACAATGGGCTCCATCGCGATTTGCGGCTCCCTCCCTCCTGGCCGGCATGAAGGTCCCCGGGATGGAGTCACACGATCGCACAGCCGCCGTTAGCCGAAACAGGGACCGCAGCACCGCCCAGCGATGGTCCGGAGAGGAGGGTCTGCCCACACAGCGAGACGGGGGTCGCCATCTTTACTGAGGGCAGAGGGGACCACAGAGACATGGTGACAGCATAGCAACCGGCATAGCAACCGAGAAACACCAGTAAACACTGCCCATCATTTCATATTACATGGAGAGAGGGGGGGCAGCTAGCCCTATATGCCACAGGGGCCACTCAGTTTATAAATTTAAGCCAAAACAACCAAGTTGTAGAGTTCAGGCTGTCTAGATACCCCCATATAAAACTAAGCCCTACTCTCAAACTCCCACTACTCCTAGGCAGCAGCAACGACCACAGTGCACATCAGCGCCAATACATACAGTAACAAAGAAAATAAAAAATAAAGTTACTTGCACACCGTCCGAAATCCCTATGCACATTTAAATAACTGGAGGTTTTTAGTATCACTCCAATGGCCATTTAAGTGTAAGCTCACCTGTCACGTCAAGGTAGAATCTCTGTTGTCTGGCTTCCATGCTTGCTGCGCAATGGTTTGATATTAAAACATTTAAGAGCGGGATGATGGGCAGACTAGCTGGGCCGAATGGTTCTGATCTGCCGTCACATTCTATGTTTCTAAGTCACATTCTATGATATAGATCAGAGCTCCCATCAGCCCATTTCAGCAGCAGTGATAATATGGAATTAAAACTTCCACTTTGTCTAAACTCTGCTTATAATGCCAATTTCATCCAATCTGGATGACACTAAAAGGAAACGAAAGCTGGGGGTGAGCACAAAGGGTTTGGTGAAAGAACATCAAGTCTACAAGTGGTAGATGGGGAATTATCACTTCTCTGGAATTTACATTTTTTAATAAAACATTAATTGAAAATCGCCTATAACGTTTGTTAAAGCGGATCTGTCACTTTTGGTGCTATTTGCATATTTTGCAAAGACCCAGGAAAATGATAGATTTAGTATGGGTCAGGTGGCTGCACGGGAAGGTAGGTTTTACTTATCCGAAACTATCCCTCCCAGCCAGCGCCATCTTCTTTATGGTGGCCTTCTTCCGCTCCTGTTTGCCAGTAGCCACATCGGTCTGTATTCTTGTGCATGCGCAATAGTACAAAACGGAGGTCTATGGAGGATACTGCGACAGACTGATGGCTGAATACCACAGATTAATTTAGTTCAAATTAATTTTAAATATATGCTAAACAATATTATCAAGTTTAGGCATTGGGGTATAAAACACATTAGGACTACTGCATAGACCCATCAAATCCATCTATGGAAATTCACATGTAAAACCTTAAATGGCGTGGTCTCTGGCTGCTCTGAAGCAGCGACTGACAGCTAGACCAGTGGAGATTATCTTTCTCTACCTTCAGTTGAAGCCTACGTTACGGAGGTTATATTGAGGAATTGCATTTAAGCTAAAATCTCTATTGTTGGATATGAAACGCACGTCTTTGTATATCTGCCCTACAGCTTCTATCCTGTGCAAATATATTGTAATAAGTTGTATGTTAAGTGGAGAGCCTTGTGGGAGAAAAAAAGCTTTTAAAGCTAAAAAAGAGAGGGGAGTCAATTAATAGGTGACCTATTAACCTATTGGTATAGCAAAAATATAGATAAATAAAAGTACACTCTACTCTCAGTACACGTAATGCACACACAAATTAATATGCTATATCAATATAACAGTATGCCAAAAATACATGAAAAAAGTTGTTGTTTTTAACAGTTTGAAAATGTATCAAGAGTTGAAAATACAGAGTTTCTAAGACCACAAAATAGTTTTTAAAAATAGTCTTTAAAATAGTTAATTAAATCCACAGTTCTGGCTTAATATCCAATAATTCCAGTAGAGTCTGGTATATGCAATAAAAACAGAATTTAAGAGGTTATTGGCTGATAAAAACCATTTCTTTTATTGAACAAACATTTTAAAATACCGTAGATATAGATGAAAAGAATATGTGACTCTCTGGGTTTACATAAAAACAAATAGTCGTTGAAGTGCAGACCTTGCCTGATACACTCTCGGCGTCCCGACTCCCGAGTATCTGCAAGTGATGTGTGCTCTAGTCCTGACTTTGATAGTATCCCGTGCAAGCTGGATGCTGTTTGCTGGATACTGGGTGCTGGATGCCAGTAGTGGGAGTCAAGTCTTTCCAAACATTTCTCCACTCTGCAGGTGATGCAATTATGGCAGAAAAAGAAGTCTTTTCTTTTAGACTCACTTCCTTCTTGTTGAGATTTCAAATGACTGTTTGTTAGTTTTGTTTTTATGTGAGGTGCTCCCCTGAAAATGAACGCGTTTGAAAAGACTTGACTCCCACTACTGGCATCCAGCATCCAGCAAACAGCACCCAGCTTGCACGGGATACTATCCAGTCGGGACTGGAGCACACATCACTTGCAGACACTTGGGACGCCGAGTGTATCAGGCAAGGTCTGCACTTTAACGACTATTTGTTTTTATATGTAAACCCAGAGAGTCACAAATTCTTTTCATCTATATCTACGGTATTTTAAAATGTTTGTTCTATAAAAGGAATTTTTTTTATCAGCCAGTAGCCTCTTAAATTCTGTTTTTATTGCATATACCAGACTCTACTGGAATTATTGGATATTTAGTCAGAACTGTGGATTCAATTAACACTGCTCAAAAATCCTCAAAAAAATAAAGGGAACATAAAAATAACACATCCTAGATCTGAATTAGTTAAATATTCTTCTGAAATACTTTGTTCTTTACATAGTTGAATGTGCTGACAACATAATCACACAGAAATTAAAAAATGGAAATCAAATTTTTCAACTCATTGAGGTCTAGATTTGGAGTCACACTCAAAATTAAAGGACCACTATAGTGCCAGGAAAACATACTCGTTTTCCTGGCACTATAGTGCCCTGAGGGTGCCCCCACCCTCAGGGTCCCCCTCCCGCCCGGCTCTGGAAGGGGAAAAGGGGTTAAAACTTACCTTTTTCCAGCGCTGGGCGGGGAGCTCTCCTCCTCCGATCCTCCTCTTCTCCTCCTCCTGGGCTGAATGCGCACGCGCGGCAAGAGCTGCGCGCGCATTCAGCCTGTCGCATAGGAAAGCATTTACAATGCTTTCCTATGGACGCTTGCGTGCTCTCACTGTGAAAATCACAGTGAGAAGCACGCAAGCGCCTCTAGTGGCTGTCAATGAGACAGCCACTAGAGGGAATGGGGGAAGGCTTAACCCATTCATAATTACAGCAGTTTCTCTGAAACTGCTATAATTAAGAAAAAATGGGTTAAGCCTAGAAGGACCTGGCACCCAGACCACTTCATTAAGCTGAAGTGGTCTGGGTGCCTAGAGTGGTCCTTTAAAGTGGAAGAACACACTACAGACTGATCCAACTTTGATGTAATGTCCTTAAAACAAGTCAAAATGAGGTTCAGTAGTGTGTGTGGCCTCCACGTGCCTGTATGACCTCCCTACAATGCCTGTGCATGCTCCTAATGAGGTGGCAGATGGTCTCCTGAGGGATCTCCTCCCAGACCTGGACTAAAGCATCTGCCAACTCCTGGACAGTCTGTGGTGCAACGTGGCGTTGGTGGATGGAGCGAGACATGATGTCCCAGATGTGCTCAATTGGATTCAGGTCTGGGGAACGGGTGGGCCAGTCCATAGCATCAATGCCTTCGTCTTGCAGGAACTGCTGACACACCCCAGCCACATGAGGTCTAGCATTGTCTTGCATTAGGAGGAACCCAGGGCCAATCACACCAGCATGTGGTCTCACAAGGGGTCTGAGGATCTCATCTCGGTACCTAATGGCAGTCAGGCTACCTCTGACGAGCACGTGGAGGGCTGTGCGGCCCCTCAAAGAAATGCCACCCCACACCATTACTGACTCACTGCCAAACCGGTCATGCTGGATGATGTTGCAGGCAGCAGAACATTCTCCACGGTGTCTCCAGACTCTGTCACGTCTGTCACATGTGTTCAATGTGAACCTGCTTTCATCTGTGAAGAGCACAGGGTGCCAGTGGCAAATTTGCCAATCTTGGTGTTCTCTGGCAAATGCCAAACGTCCTGCACGGTGTTGGGCTGTAAGCACAACCCCCACCTGTGGACGTGGGGCCCTCATACCACCCTCATGGAGTCTGTTTCTGACCATTTGAGCAGACACATGCTGGAGGTCATTTTGCAGGGCTCTGGCAGTGCTCCTCCTGTTCCTCCTTGCACAAAGGCAGAGATAGCGGTCCTGCTGCTGGGTTGTTGTCCTCCTACGGCCTCCTCCATGTCTCCTGATGTACCCCTTCAGTCACTTAGCTGAATCCAGTACCAATGTCCCTTGGCGCTGTGTCAGGCTCCGACCACGCTCCGCCAACGTCAGCTGTCGGGGAAACCTTATGCAAATGCGCGGCAATGGCCGTGCTCGCATTAGGATTTCCCCATAGGAAAGTGCTTTCCAGTGGGGAAAAAGCTGACGCTGGAGGTCTGAATGCAGAGCATGAGGATGTCCAACGTCAGATACCAGACCAAAAGTCCCATTTCAAACCAGGATGTCCCTCTATAATGGCTCTCTGGTAGACAGCCACTAGAGGTGGCGTTAACCCTGTATAGTAATTATTGCAGTTTCTCAATAATTGCAATAATTACTATTGCAGAGTTAAGGGATAAGGCACATTGCCCCCAGACCACTTCAATGAGCTTTTATTATTATTATTATAATTTTTAAGTCTGTAGCATGCTTTAGTATACCAGCATTTATTTTCATGTAAAAAGATAAGAAGAAAAAAAACCATATATGTTTGGACACCATAGTTACTGTAAATAAAAAACACAGTAATTGTGTTTCACATAAGATAAGGTCTTGCTAATCACATTTCCTCATAATGCTATCATGAAAGAAAATATTTGTCCTGTGGTTAAACTAGAGATAGGAGTTTAGGTAGGTGGCAAACTCTATTCACAGCAAAGTGAGACTGTGCTGCTTCAATCAATACTAAACAACAGGGCAGCAAATTAAAATTCAAGACAGTAAGGGGCTTATTCACTAAACATTGACTTGACAAAACAGCTT